CAAATCCCTCCCAGGACCCCCCAAATCCCCCCAGGACCCCCGTGCCGCCCCCAGCCCCACCTGGAGCCGAAGTCCCCCTGGGTGTCCCCCGGGGCCGTGGCAAATCCCTCCCAGGACCCCCCAAATCCCCCCAGGACCCCCGTGCCGCCCCCAGCCCCACCTGGAGCCGAAGTCCCCCTGGGTGTCCCCCGGGGCCGTGGCCAGCAGCTCGTCGGCCGTCAGCCGTTTGTCCTTCCTGCGCAGCCTCCGCACGCGGCGCCGCGCCTTCCGGAACGGCACCGCCTGCGCCCCCGCCCCAAAATAATTACCGCTAATTAACGCTAATTAACCAAAATCAACACAAATTAACCCAAAATTAAACCAAATCACCCCAAGTCACCACAAAATTAACCCAAGTTAAGACAAATTAACACAAAATTAACACAAAGTTAACCCAAATTAACACAAATTAACTCCAAATTAACACAAAATCACCCCAAAATTACCACAAAATTATCACAAATCATCACAAAACTAACCCAAATCACCCCCAAATTACCCAAAATCCCCCCAAACCCCCCAAAGACCCCAAATCCTGACCCAAATCCCTCCCAAACTCCTCCTATGACCCCAAATCCCGCCCAGTGACCCCAAACCCCCCAATGACCCAAATCTCCCTCAATTCCTCCCAATGACCCCAAATCCTGCCCCAAAATCTCCCCCATCGGGCGATTTATCGCGATATCGGGCGATATATCGCGATATAAAACTATATACTGACATATCAAACTATACACTGCAATATCGAATTATATACTGCGATATCCAACCGTATATCGCGATATCAGGCAATTTATCGCGATATCGGGCGATTTATCGCGATATCGGGTGATATATCGCGATATAAAACTGTATACTGACATATCAAATTGTATACTGCAATATCGAATTATATACTGTGATATCCGACCATATATCGCGATATCGGGTGATATATCGCGCTATAAAACTGTATACTGACATATCAAACTATACACTGCAAGATCGAATTATATACTGTGATATCCGACCATATATCGCGATATCGGGCGATTTATCGCGATATCGGGCGATATATCATGATATAAAACTATATACTGAGATATCAAATTCTATACTGCAATATCGTATTATATACTGCGATATCCAACCATATATCGCGATATCGGGCGATTTATCGCGATATCGGGTGATATATCACGATATAAAACTATATACTCACATATCAAATTGTATACTGCAATATCGAATTATATACTGCGATATCCAACCATCTATCGCGATATCGGGCGATTTATCACGATATAAAACTATATACTGTGATATCAAATTATATACTGCAATATCGAATTATATACTGCGATATCCAACCATCTATCGCGATATCGGGCGATTTATCACGATATAAAACTATATACTGTGATATCAAATTATATACTGCAATATCGAATTGTATACTGCAATATCCAACCATATATCGCGATATCGGGCGATTTATCGCGATATCGGGCGATATATCGCGATATCGCACAATGTATATCGCGATATTGAGCGCGATATCGAACGACATATCGCTATATCAAACTATACACTGCAATATCGAATTATATACTGCGATATCCAACCATATATCGCGATATCGGGCGATTTATCGCGATATAAAACGATATACCACGATACGAAATTATATATCGCTATGTCAAACTATACACTGCAATATCAAATTATATACTGTGATATCCAACTATATATCACAACATTGAATGATCTATCGCGATATCGGGCGATGTATCACGATATAGAACGATATATTGTGATATCAAATTATATATTGCAATATCAAATTATATACTGCCATATCCAACCATAACCCCTGATATATCACGATACACAGCACTCCACAACCCTGATATATCGCGATATACAGCACTCAATAACCTGGGGTATATCGCGATATACAGCACTCCATAACCCTGATATATCGCGATATACAGCACTCAATAACCTGGGGTATATCGCGATATACAGCACTCCATAACCCTGATATATCGTGATACACAACACTCCATAACCTGTGATATATCGCGATATACAGCACTCCATAACCCCTGATATATCGCGATATACAGCACTCGATAACCCCTGATATATCGCGATATACGGCACTCCATAACCCGATATGTCGCGATATACAGCACTCGATAACCCCTGATATGTCGCGATATACAGGACTCCATAACCTGCGATATATCGCGATATACAGCACTCCATAACCCCTGATATATCGCGATACACAGCACTCTATAACCCTGATATATCGCGACGTACAACGCCCCCTGCCCCAATACACCGTGCGCTGTACGTCGCATTGCACGGCACGTCGCGATACGTCGTGATATGCAACGATTTATGACAACATCTCGCGATACGCGTCGGTATATCGCGATACGCGTGGCTATATCGCGCCGCGCGGTGCCGGGCGGTGCCGCGTCGCGCCGTATCGCGCCGTATCGCGCCGTATCGCGCCAGCCAGGGGACACGGCCAGGGGACAGGGACAGCCAGGGGACACAGCCAGGGGACACGGCCAGGGGACACGGCCAGGGGACAGGCAGAGGACACAGGGGACAGCCAGGGGACACGGCCAGGGGACAGGGACAGGGGACAGGCAGAGGACACAGGGACAGCCAGGGGACAGGGGACAGCCAGGGGACAGGGACAGGGGACAGGCAGAGGACAGGGACAGGCAGAGGACACAGGGACAGCCAGGAGACAGGGACAGGCAGAGGACACAGGGACAGCCAGGGGACAGGGACAGGCAGAGGACACAGGGACAGCCAGGGGACAGCACAGGAACAGGGACAGGGGACACAGGGCACAGCAACAGGACACAGCCAGGGGACACAGCAAAGTGACAGGGAGGGGACACAGGAACAGTGAGAGGACATCTTGGACAGGGACAAGCCACGCCACGCCCAAAGTACCCCCCCCACGGCCCTTGGGGACAGTCCTGTCCCCACCATGTCCCCGCTGACCCCTGTCCCTCTGCCACCACAATGTCCCCAATGCCCCTGTGCTACTGCAATGTCCCCGATGTCCCTGGTGTCCCCATGTCCCCACTGACCCCTGTCCTTGAGGGTCAGCACCAGCGTTTGTCCCTGTGCCACCCCAGTGTCCCCATGTCCCCAGTGTCCCCAATGTCCCTGTGCCACCCCAGTGTCCCCGCTGTCCCCACAGACCCCTGTCCTTGAGGGTCAGCACCGGCGTTTGTCCCTGTGCCACCCCAGTGTCCCCATGTCCCCAGTGTCCCCAATGTCCCTGTGCCACCCCAGTGTCCCCATGTCCCCAATGTCCCTGTGCCACCCCAGTGTCCCCATGTCCCCAATGTCCCCATGTCCCCACGGACCCCTGTCCTTGAGGGTCAGCACCAGCGTTTGTCCCTCGGGGATCGAGGCCGGGTCGTGCTCCACCGTCAGCCCCTGCAGGTCCCGGGCGCTGTAACGCTCCTGGGGGGCACAGGGGGGTCACTGCTGTCCCCACGGGCACAGGGGGGTCACTGCCTGTCCCCACGGGCACAGGGGGGTCACTGCCTGTCCCCACACTGTCCCCAAGGTCCCCACGCTGTCCCCAATGTCCCCAAGGTCCCCAGGCTGTCGCTCACCCTCCGGCGCCGCTGGAACTCCTCCTCCACCAAGGGGCTGACCCCGAACTCCTGGTCCATCTCCTCCAGCAGCTTGGCCTGCAGAGCCCAGTGACACCAGTTTGGGACACTGGGGGACACCGGGGGACACCCCCAGAGCCCCAGTGACACCAGTTTGGGGACACTGGGGGACACCCCCAGAGCCCCAGTGACACCAGTTTGGGGACACCGGGGGACACTGGGGGACACCCCCAGCCCAATCCCAGAACAGGGATCTGGGAGTTGCTCAACAGGGGAAAAACGACCCCAAAATTCCCATTTTTGGCTCAAAAATCAGCAACAACTTGAAGGGGACGCTCCCAAATCCCAACGGGGTTTTGGGGATGCTAAATTCGGTTTTTATCTAAAAGTGGTCCAAAAACTCCCAAAAATTGAGGGGGAAGCAGAATTTTGGGGCTAAAATTTGTGATTTTAACACCACGCTTGAAAATTTTACTGTAAAAAGTAAAAATTCAAGGTCTTAAAACATGGATTTTAGGAGTGTTTTGAGGGAATATCCCTAAAAATCGCATTGAGGCTCAAAATTCCTCAAAATTGGGATGAAATTTGAATTTTAGCTTCTAAATTCCCCACTTTAACCCAAAAACTTGTTTTAGAAAAAAGATTTACCCCCAAAATCTTTAATTTTTAGGAAATTTTTCACTGAAAACCTTAAAATTTAACCTAAGTTTCCAAATAGTTTCACAATTTCCAAAATTCTGAGAAAAATCAGGATTTTTACATGAGAAAACCTCAAAAAAATCCCACAAAAATTGAAATTTTTGCTACAAAACTGCTAAAAATTTGGGTTAAAATGCCATTTTTGCACTGAAATTGGGGGGTTTGGGGTTTTCCGGGGTTTGGGGTTTTCTGGAATTTGGGGTTTTCTGGAATTTGGGGTGTTCTGGGGTTTTGGGCTCCCTCCCCACCCTTTTCTCTGCCAGCTCCTTCTCCCTCTGCAGCGCCCGGCTGCGCTCGATCCACGCGGCCGCGTCGTCCAGCCAGGGCTCCTCCTCCCCCAGCGTCTTCACCTTCCTTTTTGGGGCAAAAAAAGCACATTTTGGGGTTCCCACGACTGCCTCAAATCAATTTGGAACCCCCAAAATCCTCCTGGATTTTTTTGCTTCCCACAGACCCCAAACTTTTATCAACATTCCCAGATTTATTTTTTTTTTAATCTGAAAATTCTGCCCCAAAATCTTTTTTGTGCTACCCAAAAATCCCTAAAATCCTCCCTGTGCCTCAAAATCTCCTCCCAGATTCTCCCGAAATCTTCCCAACTCTCCCCAAATTTTTCCTATTCCCCAAAATCCCATCCTGGTCGCCCAAAATTTACCCTGAGAACCCCAAATCCCCTCCCAAATTCCCCCCAAATCCTCTCCCAGGCCCCTCAAATCCCCCCCAGTTCACCCCAGTTTCTGGTTCAGCAGCCGTTTCTCCTTGGCCGCCGCCAGCTTCTCGCGGATCTCCTCGCGCTGCCGCAGCGCCAGGGGATTGATCAGCTCGGCTGCCAGCGGCTCCTCCTTGGTGCCCGCCTCTGCCCCCAATTAATCCAAAATCAGCCCAAAAACCAGCCCAAAACCACGCCTAAATCAGCCAAAAATCGGCCCCAAATCAGCCCAAAAACCAGCCCAAAAATCAGCCCAAAACAGCCAGAAATCAGCCCCAAATCAGCCCAAAAATCAGGCAAAAATCAGCCCAAAATCACACCAGAATCTGCCAAAAATCGGCCCCAAATCAGCCCAAAAACCAGCCCAAAATCCGCCCCAAATTAACCCAAAATCGGTCCAAAATCGGCTCCAAATCAGCCTTAAATCAGCCCCAAATTAAACCAAAATCAGTGCCAAAATCACCCCCAAATCACTCAAAAATCATCCCCAAATCAGCCCAAAATCAGCCCAAAAACCAGCTCCAAATCAGCCCAAAAATCAGCCCCAAATCAGCCCAAAAATCAGCCCCAAATGAGCCCGAAACCAGCACCAAAATCAACCTGAAATCAGCCCAAAATCACACCAAAATCAGCCCCAAATCAGCCTTAAACCAGCCCAAAAATCAGCCCTAAATCATGCTAAATTAACCCAAAAGCAGCCCCAGGTCGGCCCTAAATTAAACCAAAATCAGCCCAAAATCAGCCAAAAATCAGCCCAAAAAACAGCTCTAAATCACACCAAAATCAGCCCAAAATTACACCAAAATTAAGCCAAAATCCACTCAAAATCATTCCCCAAACTCAACCCTAAAACTAGACCAAGACTCAGCCCCAGAAACCCCAAAATTGGCCCTAAATAACCCAAATCTCCCCCCAAAATCCCCCCAAAATTCCACAAAATCCCCAAAATCCCCCCTAAAATCCCCAAATCCCCCCCAAAATCCCTTGAAAATCCCCAAAAAAACCCCAAAAATCCCCGAATTTTCCCGCCGCCGCCCGGCCCGGCCGCCCCCGGCGCCTCCTCGGCCGCCTCGGCCCCGCCGCGCTCCCGGTGCTTCTTCGAGGCGCCCATGGCCGCGCCGCCACTTCCGGCGCAGACAGGAACTTCCGGTGGTTGCCGTGGAGACGCTTCCGGTGCTCGGCTACTTCCGGCGGAGCGCGGTGCTGATTGGTCGGGGTATAGGCGGGACTTGAGGGGGCGCTGTGGGATGGACCATTATGCGCGCCGAGGGGGTGGGCAGAATGAGCAGGGTGGCTGTGGTGCCGTCCTGTCCCCCCCACAGAGGGCTGGAGACCTCCGTAAGAGGCACAGCGGATCTCTCCACACGGTTCTCAGTGATGAGACCCCGTGCAGGCCGCCGGATGGGGGCTCCGTAAATAGCGCACCCCCGGGGTGCAAAAAAATGGCGACGCCCAGTAGAGATCAATAGACGCTTTAATAACACCAAAATGGCGGCTGCTTGGGGTGTGGCAAAATGGCGGCGCATGGGGGGGACCCCGAAAAGGACGGGGGTGTAGAGAATCCTCCGTGAGAAGAAAAAGGCACGACGCCCATGACGGGCATCCTATTAATCCGTGGTGTAAACCAGAGACTCCAAAATGCGCCCTCCGGGGCTCTGTCCCGCCCCGTTCGCCCCGGGGCGTGTCCGGTCCCCCCCGCCTCGTGCCCTTTGATCCGCCCGGCCCGGGCGCCTCGGCGGCGCCGGGGGGCGGAGCTGGGGGCGTGGTTACCGCATAGTGGGCGTGGTTTGATCGGCATATAAAAGGCTGCGCCGAGCCCCTCACGCCCGTCACGAGGTCTTGGCGAAGGTAGCGCTCACCCTGAGGGGCTCCGGGCTCCGGGGGGGATTTCTGGGGAGCACAAACAACTTTCGGGGTCCCCGTGAGGATATCGGGGAGCCCGGGGGCTCTTTGGGTGTGCGGGGCGGGCTCGGGATCCATCCAAGGGCGGGTGTGGTCGCTCAAGGAGGCGCTGGGGGGGCTGCGAGGCCTGGAAGGATTTTGGGGCGCCCTGTGAGGGATTTGGGGTCGCCGGGGGGGCGCTGGGTGCTCAAGAGGAGCTTGAAACCCCCACAAAAACATTTTAGAGTGGCCAGGGCGATCTCTAGAAAAACATGGGGTCATTTTTGGGGTGCAGGGAGCACCCCTGGATCTCTTCCAGAACCTTTGACCGCCAGGGGCGAAGTCGGGGGCCAAAGATCCCCTTGAGGTTGTTTGGGGGGAAAGTTCAACCCCGCCCAAACCCTTGTGGGGCGATCGCTGAAGGTTTGGGGGTGGTCCCTGAAGGCTTTAGGACAATCCCTGAGGATTTGGGGGCGATCCTGGAAAGTTTTAGGAGGATCCGTGAGGGGTTTTGGGGCCATCCTTGAAAGGTTTCAGGGCGATCCCCGAGGGGTTTTTAGGGCAATCCCTGAGGGGTTTTTGGGGCATTCCCCGAGGGGTTTTGGGGCCAATCCTGGAAGGTTTTAGGATGATCCCTGAGGGGTTTTTAGGGCAATCCCTGAAGGGATTTTGGGGCGATCCCTGAAGGGATTTTGGGGCGATCCCTTAGGAGTTTCTAGGGTGATCCCCGAGGGATTTTGGGGCAATCCCTGAAGGGATTTTGGGGTAATCCTGGAAGGTTTTAGGGCGATCCCAGAGGCATTTTTTGGGCGATCCCAGAGGCATTTTTTAGGCGATCCCTGAGGGGTTTTTGGGGCGATCCCTGAGGGGTTTTTGAGGCGATCCCTGAAGGGTTTTTAGAGCATTCCCTGAAAGGTTTTTGGAGCGATCCCTGAGGGGTTTCAGGATGATCCCTGAGGAGTTTTGGAACGATCCTGGAATGTTTTAGGGCAATCCCTGAGGGGTTTTGGGCCAATCCCCGAGGTGTTTTTGGGGCGATTTTTGAAGCTTTTGGGTCAATCCCTGAGGGGTTTTTGGGGCCAATCCCTGAAGGGTTTTTGGGGCGATCCCTGAAGGCTTTGGGTCAATTCCTGAGGTGTTTTTGAGGCGATTTCTGAAGCTTTTGGGTCAATCCCCGAGGGTTTTTTGAGGCGATTTCTGAACGTTTTGGGTCAATCCCTGAGGGGTTTTAGGGCGATCCCTGAGGGGTTTTTGAGGCGATTTCTGAAGGCTTTGGGTCAATCCCCGAGGTGTTTTTGAGGCGAATCCCCGAGGGGTTTTTGGGGCGATTTCTGAAGCTTTTGGGTCAATCCCTGAGGGGTTTTTGAGGCGATCCCTGAGGGGTTTTGGGCCAGTCCCCGAGGTGTTTTTGAGGCGAATCCCTGAGGTGTTTTTGAGGCGATTTCTGAAGCTTTTGGATCAATCCCTGAGGGCTTTTTGAGGCGATTTCTGAAGCTTTTGGGTCCATCCCTGAGGGGTTTTGGCTCTTCTCCCCAGATGGAGCCCGAGTCTCCCCCCCGCGAGCTGGAGCTGTCGGCGCTGGAGGCCGAGAAGCAGCCGATGGCCGCGGCCGAGCCGGGGACCCCTCCCCAGGCGCCCCCTCCCCAGCGCGACCCCTCCCCGGGCCCGGAGCAGCACCCGGGCGCCGAGAAGAACGGGCTGGTGATGAAGATCCCCCCCGAGGAGGAGGAGGAGGCGGCCCTGGGGGGCACGGGGGCCTCGGGGAGCCCCAAGTTCACGGGGCTGGGCAAGGAGGAGCTGCTGCGGGAGGCGGGGACGCCGCTCTGGGCCCGCGCCCGCCTGGTGCTGCTCGTGCTCTTCTGGGGGGGCTGGCTGGGCATGCTGGGGGCCGCGGCTGCCATCGTGGCACAGGCGCCCCGCTGCCAGCCCCTGCCCGCCAAGGCCTGGTGGGAGCTCGGGGCGCTCTACAGGGCCCCCCCCAAGGCTTTCGGGGGAGACCTGAAAGGTGAGGAGGGGTCGGGGTGGAAAGATCCTAGGGGATGTGTGGGGGGAATTTGGGGGTTTTTGGGGGATTACAGGGTCCCCAAAAGTGAGTTGGGGGAGTTTAGGGAGTTTCCAGCCTGGTTTTGGGGAGGTTTGTGAGGTTTTTTGGGGAATTGGGGGGGGGGTCCCAGGAAGGTTTGGGGTTCCCCTGGGAGCCTGTGGGGGGAGGCCCCGTTAATGGAACCCCCAAAATAAATCCAAGGATATTTGGGGAGTGGGGGATTTATCTCAGTGCCCCCCACCACATGTCAGGGGTCCCAGGAGAAATTCCCAAAAAAACCCCACAGGATGAGTTTGGGGCTCCCCTATTTCAGGGCCCCCCATAAAAGGGTCTGGGGGGGTGACTCAGCAATTTTGGGGGGGTTCCCCAGATTTTAGGGGGGTTCACGATCTCCAAAGCCTGAGGGAACCCCCAAAATTTGGGGAATTTTGGAATTTTCCTCAATTCTGGGGCCGTTTTGGGGTCCTGGCAGGACCCTGGGTTGGTTTTGGGGTCTCGGGGGGGGGATTTTGGGGTCCCCAGCGGTGTTGGGGATCCCTGCTGTCCCTGGGGGGATTTTGGGGTCACATTCGGGGTTCCCCCCCTTTTGCAGGCGTGGAGAAGCGTTTGGGGTACCTGAAGGAGAAGCTGCAGGTGGGGGGGCTGGTGCTGGGCCCCGTGGCCCCCCAAAAACCCCCCGGGGGGCTCCTCCCCCCCCTGAAGGAGCTGGACCCCGCCCTGGGCACCCTCCAGGACTTCCAGGCCCTGCTGCAGGCAGCCAAGGACAAAGGTGGGCTGGGGGGGACCCCGAAACCGGGGGGACCCCAAAATGGGGGGGGGGGAGAGGGGTGAACTGAGAGGAACCCCAAAATTTGGGGGGATGGTGGATGTGGGGGGAAGGGCACCACGGAATTGAGGGGGAGCCCCAAAATGTGAGGGGCAGAAAATTGGGGGGTGGGACACCCCAAAATGGGGAGGGGCACCCCAAAATTGGGGGGTGGGACACCTCAAAATGGGGAGGGGACATCTCAAAATGGGGAGGGGGCACCACAAAGTGGGGAGGGGACGCCGCAAAATTAAGGGGGGACGCCCCAAAATGGGGAGGGGACACCCCAATTTTGGAATTTTCCTCAATTCTGGGGCCATTTTGGGGTCTCGGGGTGGGATTTTGGGGTCCCCAGCGGTGTTGGGGATCCCTGCTGTCCCTGGGGGGATTTTGGGGTCACATTCGGGGTTCCCCCCCTTTTGCAGGCGTGGAGAAGCGTTTGGGGTACCTGAAGGAGAAGCTGCAGGTGGGGGGGCTGGTGCTGGGCCCCGTGGCCCCCCAAAAACCCCCCGGGGGGCTCCTCCCCCCCCTGAAGGAGCTGGACCCCGCCCTGGGCACCCTCCAGGACTTCCAGGCCCTGCTGCAGGCAGCCAAGGACAAAGGTGGGCTGGGGGGGACCCCGAAACCGGGGGGACCCCAAAATGGGGGGGGGGGGGAGGGGGGGGGGACACCCCAAAATGGGGAGGGGACGCCCCAAAATTAAGGGGGGACACCCCAAAATTGGGATGAGACACCGCAAAATTAAGGGGGGACACCCCAAAATTGGGAGGGGGCACCACAAAATTGGGATGAGACACCGCAAAATTAAGGGAGGACACCCTAAAATGGAGGGAGGACACCCCAAAATGGGGAGAAGACACCCCAAAATTGAATAAGGGGCTGAATTTGGGGCTTCTGAGGGTTGAGTGATGGGAAGACCAGGAGGAGCCCCCCTCGTGGCCAGGTGTGACCCCAAAAACGTCCCCAGTGTCCCCCCAAACTCACTGACCCCCCAAAAACATCCCCAGTGTCCCCCCAAACTCACTGACCCCCCAAATCTCCTCCTCCCCTCATCCCCTGCCTCGTGGACCCCCCACTTTCCTCCCCCATTTTTGGGGTGCTCTCCTGACCTTCCCTTCTTCATTTTTGGGGTGTTACTCTGGCCTCACACTTTGTGTTTTTGGGGTGTTCCCCTGACTTTTTCCCCCCCATTTTCGGGGTTTTCCCCTGACCTTTCCCTCCCCATTTTCGGGTTGTTCCCATTACTTTTCCCCCCTATTTTTGGGGTTCTCCCCTGATTTTCCCCCCCCATTTTTTGGGGTTCTCCCTTTACTTATGCTCCCTGTTTTTGGGGTGTTCCTTTGAATTTTTCCCCCTGTTTTTGGGTTGTTCTCCTGACTTTTTTCCCATTTTTGGGGTTTTCCCCTGACCTTTCCCTTCCCACTTTCGGGTGTTTCTCCCCCATTTTTGGGTTGTTCCCCTGACCTTTCCCTTCCCATTTTTGGGTTTTCCCCCCCCATTTTTGGGGTTCTCCCCTTCTTCCCCCCCCCCCATTTTTGGGTTGTTCCCCTGACCTTTTCTTTCCCATTTTTGGGGTTCTCCCCCTCTCCCCCCCCCACTTTTGGGGTTCTCCCCTCACTCCCCCATTTTTGGGGTTCTCCCCCCCCCCCCTTTTGGGGTTCTCCCCTCACTCCCCCCGTTTTTGGGGTGCCCCTGACCGTGTCCTGTTCGCAGGGTGCTGGTGGGGGGCACTCGGCTGAAGGAGCCCTGGAGGGTCCCGGGGGTCCCGGGGGGGCTGCGGCTGCTGCTGGGGCCCTTCCTGCAGCCCCTGCAGCCCGGAGGCAGCGCGGGATCGCCCGAGGCAGCGGCGAGAGACCTGCTCGGCTTCCTGGGCAACTCCTCCGGGATGGGGCTGGGCTGGAGCGTGAGTCTGCACCCCAAAATCCCCTAAATAGGACCCCAAAATGGGACCCCAAAACCCCCCGGGACCCCCAAAACCTGCCCGTGGGGCTGGAGCCGTGAGCAGCCTGCTCAGCTTCCTGGGCAACTCCTCTGGGATGGGGCTGGGGCTGGGCTGGAGCGTGAGTCTGCACCCCAAAACCCCAAAAAACTCCCCAAATGGGACCCCAAAACCTGCCCGTGGGGCTGGAGTCACAAGGAGCCTGCTCGGCTTCCTGGGCAACTCCTCCGGGATGGGGCTGGGCTGGAGCGTGGGGAGGTTTGGGGGGCTGCAGTTCCTGGCCCCGGGCCAGCAGGTATGGGGGGCTGCAGGGGGGGGGTCTGGGTGCTGTGGGGATTTTGGGAAAGGATTTGGGGATTTTAGGGGTGCCGGGGAGGGGTTTTCACCAATTTTCCCCCCAACTTCACAACTTCTGTGCCCAAATTCCACTGTTTTGTGTCCCAATCTCACCATTTTTAGCCCCAAATTTCTCTGTTTCTTGCCCAATTTCCCCGTTTTTTGCCCCAATTTCCCCGTTTTTTGCCCCAACTCTGCCGTACGGGGGGCTGCAGGGGGGGGTCTGGGTGCTGTGGGGATTTTGGGAAAGGATTTGGGGATTTTAGGGGTGCCGGGGAGGGGTTTTCACCAATTTTCCCCCCAACTTCACAACTTCTGTGCCCAAATTCCACTGTTTTGTGTCCCAATCTCACCATTTTTAGCCCCAAATTTCTCTGTTTCTTGCCCAATTTCCCTGGTTTTTGCCCCAATTCTGCCGTTTTTTGCCGCAGCTGCCGCCGATGCCGTGGGAAATCATCGAGGAACCGAAAAAAGGCGGGAACGGCTCCGAGGTGGGCGGGGCTTGGGGCTGTGATTGACATGGGTGTGGGTGGGGCTTGGGTGCTGGTTTAAGGGGTGTGGCTCAGACTTGCTCCTCCTCTTGGGGGCGGGTCCTTAATTTGCATTTATGGCTTTCTCAAGGGGTGGGGTTTTGGCCACGCCCACTGGTGGGTGGAGCCTTGGTGTGGGTCCCACAGAGTGGCAACATGGAAGGCTCTTAAAAGGGCAATGCGTCCTTAAAAGGGCAACACACTCTTAAAAGGGCAATGCATCCTTAAAAGGGCAACACAGTTTTAAAGGGGCAATGTGTCCTTAAAAGGGCAATGCACCCTTATATGGGTGGGCACCATTAAAAGGGCCATGCCCCATTAAAAGGGCAATGCACCTCTCAAGGGGTGGGGCAGCTTTAAAAGGGCAATGCCACATTAAAAGGGCAATGCATCCTTGTGTGGGTGGGACACTTAAAAGGGCAATGCACTTTTAAAAGGGCAATGCACCCTTAAGAGAGCTGCATGCTCTTAAAAGGGCAATATGCTCTTAAAAGGGCAATACCATCCTTAAAGGGCCAGCGCCTCCTCCCCTCGGCGCTGCCCTTGGGGGTCTCCCGGCCCCACTAACGCCCCCCTGTCCCCCGCAGCCCCCCGAGCTGGAGCTGTGCACGGCCCTGGCCTCGCTGCGCGCCCACGAGCGCTCGCTGCTGCTGGGGGAGGCGCGGGCGGTGCCGGCGGGCGCGGCCATCGCGCTGCTGCGGCGCTGGGACCAGAGCCAGCGCTTCCTGCTGCTGCTCAACCCCCGCGGCGAGGCCGTCCGGCCCTTCCCGGGCAGCGCGGACCCCCGGGACCCCCCCCTGCCCGCGGCGGCCACGCTGCACTTCAGCACGGGCCCCGGGCAGCGCGGGGAGCAGCAGCTGCAGCTGCAGCAGCTCAGCCTGGAGCCCCGCCAGGGGCTGCTGCTGGGCTTCCCCTACAGCCCCGAGTGACCCCGGCCCCCCCCACGCTCGTCTCCCCTCACTCGGTTTTTGGGTTCTCGCCCTGCTCCCCCCCCACCCCAAAGGGGTTTTGGGGTTTTCTCTCTGTCCCCAGCTCGGTTTTGGGGTTTTTCTTTGTTTGCTGGGGGTGTTGGGGTCCCCCCGAGCTCTGAATAAAGGATTGCATTTGTGCTCCTGCCTTTGTCTCTGTTTGTGGGGGGTCTGAGGGTCCCCCCCGGGATTTGGGGGCGTCACAGACCCCTGGGAGTGCCCCAAAATTGGGGGGAGGATTGGGGGTCCCGGGGGAATTTTGGGGGGACAGGAGAGGCCAAAGAGGGAACCACGACACCCCTAAACGAGGGGGGTTGGATTTGGGGGCTCAGGGAGGGTCCTGGGGCTGTTGAGGGGGTCAAAAAGAACCAAAATTGAGGAAATCCACCCAAAATGGGGGCTGGGATCCCCACTGGGGCTCAGGGGTGACCCTGGGAGAGGGGGACCCCCAAAATAAAGGGGTGGGGCCACCCTGGGGGGGCGGGAAGGTTTTGGGGAAGGGTCTCAGACCCCGTCAGGAGCTCTGCAGGGTTTGGGGGTCCCTGAAGGGTTTGGGGAGGGGTCTCGGGGGGGACGGTTTGGAGCTCCTGAGGGGTGGAATTAATTTTTTGGTCCTGCCCCTTTAAGCAGGCCCCGCCCCTTCATGTGAGTCCCGCCCCTTTACGCCGGGGCCTCGCCCACTTCCGGGTAGGCCGCGCCCCGTTGCCGTGGTAACCGCCCCTTACCGGAAGTGACGCGGCGGAAGCGGAAGCGGCGCCATGAAGCTGCTGACCCACAACCTGCTGAGCTCCCACGTGCCGGGGCTGCGGCCCGGGGGCGGATTCCCGCTGCGCATCGAGGTGCGGGCCACGGGGCCACCCCGGGGCACCGGGAACGGGGGGGACACCGCGGGCCCCGCCCCCGCCACGGCCCCGCCGCCTCTCGCCGTTACCGGCTACCGGAGCCGTTCCCGGAGCCGGTACCGGAGCCGTAACGGTGCCCCCGGTACCGGTGCCCAGCTTCTCCCCGTTCCCCGGACACCGCGGTTCCCATCGGTGTCTCCTCATTTACCTCCCGTTACCTCCCCCGCTACCCCCGGTGGCTCCTCCGTTAAGCCCAGGAACGCCCGGTGATCGGTCCCGTTACCGGCAATAAATCCCGCTTTAATCCCCGCCGTTAACGGTCCCGCTCCGCGCTTGTTAACCCCGTTAACCCTCCCGCTGTGGCAGTTCCTCCCCTCCCGTTATCCCGGTTCCCGTTATCCCGGTTCCTCTCCCGTTAACGCCCCGTCCCGCCGCGGTTCCGGCCCCGCCGGTTCCTCCCCGTTATCCCCCGTTAATCCCCGTTAACCCCCTCGTTACCCTCCCCAACCGCCGGTAACGGCCCCGTTAATCCCGGCCCGGTTCCCGTTCCCTCCCGGTGACCCCCGGTACCCCAGATTTGGGATTTTTTGGGGGGGTCCCAGGATTGGGTTTTTTAGGGGAGGGGTCCCAGATTTGGGTTTTTTAGGGGCTCCCAGACCATTTTGATATTCCCAAACTTGGGGTGAATTTTAGAACACCCATAACGCCCCGTCCCGCCGCGGTTCCGGCCCCGCCGGTTCCTCCCCGTTATCCCCCGTTAATCCCCGTTAACCCCCTCGTTACCCTCCCCAACCGCCGGTAACGGCCCCGTTAATCCCGGCCCGGTTCCCGTTCCCTCCCGGTGACCCCCGGTACCCGCCCGGCCCCGGTAACGGCCCCGGTGCCCGCAGGCCGCCGAGGTTCGGGTGCGCCCGGTGCCGTTCAACGCCGCCTTCGTGTCCCGGTTGGTGCCGCGGCTGCGCTGGGACGCGCTCAGGGAGGCGGCCGAGAGCGTGAGCGGGGAGGAACGGGAACCGGGAACCGGGAACCGGGAATGGGAAACGGGAACGGGGACGGGGACGGGAATGGGAAATGGGAATGGGAACGGGAAATGGGGAACGGGAATGGGAAATGGGGGACGGGGGACAGGAACGGGAACCGGGAACGGAGCGCCGGGGGGGCAGCGGGAGTCGGGAAGGGCCAGTTGGGGCTTCTGGGGCAGAATTGGGGAGGTCTGGGGGGGTCTCGGGGTCGGGGGGGGATTTGGGGTGTCCTGGGAAGAGTTTGGGGAGATTTTGGGGGTCTCAGAGACCTTTTTGGCACCCCCTTTTTTTTTTTTTTTTTTTTTTTTTTTTTTTTTTTTCTTTTTTTGGGGAGGGGTCTCCCTCTAACCCCCCCTCCCCATTTTTGCCCCCCTCCCGAAGTTGGGGCACCCCTCGGAGCTGCCCCCCGAGCCCAGCCCCGGCTACGAGGCCGACGAGGAATTCCTGCGCCGCCTCCACCATGTCCTGCTCGAGGTCAGGGGGTCCCCAAATCCCCCTCGGGGGGGGTCCCCAAATCTCGGGGACCCCCCCCGACCCCCAATTTCCCCTCCCCCCCGCAGGTGGAGGTGCTGGAGGGGTCCCTGCAGTGCCCGGACTCGGGGCGCCGCTTCCCCATCTCCAGGGGGGTCCCAAATCTGCTCCTGAGCGAGGACGAGGCCTGAGGGGGGGTCGGGACCCCCTCCCCAAAATCCAAAATCCCCCCAAAATGCTGCTGAGCCCCTCCCCCCCCAGGAAGGATCGGCGGCAGGGAGAGAAAAACCCCAAAATCCCGCGGTTTTACCCCAAAAACGGGCCCCGAATTTCAGCCGGGGCTCAAGCGCTGGGGGGCGTGGCCTGAGCTGTCTCATTTGCATATGGGCGGGGCCATCATAACGCCCCTCCCCTATGCAAATTAGCCATGTCCTTATTTGCATTTTGGGCGGGAATTGCTTCGTTTGCATGATGGGCGGGAAATTTCTCTTTTTTTGGTCAAAAATTCCCTTTTTTTACCTCCAAATTCCCTTTTTTTGTCCACAAATTCCCTTTTTTTGCCCACAAATTCCATTTTTTGCCTCCAAATTCCCTTTTTTTGCCCTCAAATTCATTCCCTTTTTTGCCCACAAATTCCCTTTTTTGCCCACAAATTCCCTTTTTTGCCCACAAATTCCCTTTTTTGCCCACAAATTCCCTTTTTTGCCCACAAATTCCCTTTTTTGCCCACAAATTCCCTTTTTTGCCCACAAATTCCCTTTTTTTTCCCTCAAATTCCATTTTTTTCTCACAAATTCCCTTTTTTTGCCTCCAAATTCCCCTTTTTTCTCCCTAAATTTCTCCTTCCCTCCCAAACTTCCCACTTTTGCCCCAAATCCTTTTATTTTCTCCGAATTTCATCATTATTTTTGCCCCAAATCCCTCTTTTTACCCCAAAATCCTCCAGTTTTGCCCTCAGATTCCTCTCCTTTGCCCCAGTTTCCTCCCTTGTGCTCCCAAACCCGGATTTTCCCCCAAAATCTCTTTTTTTTACCCTCATTTTTTTTATATTTTGCCGCCAAATCCTCCTTTGTGCCCCAATCCCCTCCTTTTCCCCCACATCTTTCTTTTCTATCCCAAACCTCCTTTTTTTTCCCAAAATCCCATTTATTTCCCCCGTGTTTCTCTCCCCCGTGTTGTGACCTGTTGCATTTGTAACTTCTCCCATAAATTCAATAAAAATCCCCTTTTTTTGCCCCGATGTTGGTCCGGAATCGCCTCCTTTGTTCTCTTGCGGATCCTCTGGGGGAATCCTTTGGGATGGAGGGAATTTTGGGAGCGCGGGAGGGAACTTTGGCACAACATGGAGGCGCCCAGGTGAGCGTGGCAGCCCGCGCGGGGCCCGGAGCCGCTGCCGGGGCACTCGGGAGGCTCGGGGGTGACCCCGGAGGGGTTCCCGGTGCCCCCGGAGCACCTGGAGCCTGTTCCAGGTGTCCCCGGAGCACCTGGAGCCTGTTCCAGGTGTCCCGGCCCACCTGGGCGGACCCGGCGGGCCCTTGGAGGACCCGCCTCGTCTCTATGATCCCAGAGCGCCTCTCGCCTCGATGGTTTCGGCGCGCGCCGCCGGAAGTGGCGTCAGCACGGCGCGCCGCCGGATGTGACGTCAGTGCGTAGCGGCAGCGGGCTGAGGCGGGAGCGGCGGTTGGAGCGGCCCGAGGGGACGGTGAGGGGGGGGGGGAGCGG